AAAGGACTCCCTTGTCTAGAATCTAGAGAGCAGTGGGCTCCAGAAAACCTCTAAGCTCTTAGAAGAATCATGAGGCTATCTTGCTTCCCTGGGACAGTTCACATTCAATTTTGAAACAACAGCTTAAGTACATGGATATAACTAACTCTGTGGAAAATAATATTTTAATTATCAGTACAGCATCCTAATGTGAGTGTAGCTAGAGCTGGCTTACTTTAAGCCGAGCCATGATGGTGTTTACACAGTGGGAGGCCGACTGGAGCACACAGTCTGGTTAGCTTCCTTTATTCCTCGCAGAAGGAGGAGTACCCGACACTTGAAGGGGCTGGCCTCAATGTTCAATTTACGGGTCTAAATTAGAACTGCTAAATTGAATGCTACAAGAACAAACACTGGAGGGTCCATCTTCCCCCTAGAGTATACTAGAGATGTTAAATTTAGATTAATTAACTAATCAAATAGTTGATGGGATTTCCATTGGCTATTCAATTAGCCTATAAGGGCGCCTCCACCTTTGACCTGTAGGAAAAGCCCTGCTGGGCTCTTGCTACAGTTTAAAAGTAGAAGCCTCACAGGGAGTAGGGAGCCAGCAGAGGACTGGCCATATGCTCCCTGCAGGGCCTGAGCCTTTGAAATGTACGAGCCTGGCTGGGGCTCTTGTACATTTCAAAAGCAGAATTGCAGTGGAAATGGTGCAAGCAGAGACTGCATCAGTCCTTGCTCATGCCATTTCCCGCTGTACCTCTACCTTTCCTGCGTCCTGTGGAGACTGTGCTGGCTCCTCCCAGCAACAGCTCCTGCTCTCCCCCTTGCTGCTTCTAATAGAGGCAGCAAGGTGGGGGAAGCAACTAGTATCATCAGTAGTCGACTATCCATGCTTATGCTTATCGGATAGTTAACTAGTTGACTAATTACTTACACCCCTCGTGTAGACATGCCCAGTGTGGGTGCATCTACGCTGCACCGTTATTTTGAGATAACTAGTGTTATTTCAAAATAACAGCTAGAGCATCTACACAGCCATTCCATTATTTTGAAATAATTTCAAAATAATGGACGGCTTATTCTGAAATCTGTTAACATCACTTTGTGAGGAATAACGCCTATTCTGAAATAGCTATTTTGAAATAATGCGTGAATAGATGCTCCACTGCTGCTATTTTGAAATAGCCCCTCATCTGGGCCATTCTAAGTTATTCTTCCCCAGTGTTTCCTGGGGCTCTAAATTGAGAGCATGTCTACATTAGGGATGCCTGCCTTGGACTAATTTTGAGGCTTCCCTTCAGTGTAAATGTGCTATTTCGAAATAAGCTATTTTGGAATAACTATTCTGGAACAGCTTATTTCAAAATAGGCGTGCAATGTAGAGGTACCCTGTGTTTACACTAGAGAGTTGCATTGCTTTTAAGTAAAGATTTAATTATGTCAGTGCGAAAACTGTGGGAAGACAAGCCCTAGGCATCAGGTGATCTAATGAGATATGAAATGCATAAAGAATAGAGAAAAAATAAGTAAAATAAAACGGAGTTCGCATAACATAAGTAGTCTTTATAATTGGCACAAGTGATACCAAATTGCTATGGTACATCTTATGACTGATTTCAGTAAAATTACAGCCTTACTTTACTTTTGCCAAGAATCAAACTCGATCTGTTGGGGTGGTGTTTATCTTAAACTGATTTTTCTCACAGTTTATAATGAATATTGTCTGAATTAGATTGCTTAACCCTAAAGGTTGTGCTGCCCAAGAGGGAGAGCAACAAACGAAGGTGGAGAAAACCTGTCTGCCGAGGAAAGGCTGGGTGGGTTGGGCACAGGTCTTCGGGGGTTGGGAAGATTGGGGCATGACTTGAATCACTCTTCTCAAGTCTTCCTTACATTAAGGACAGTTAATCAATTGTTCATGTCCTGGGAAGGGAGGACCAGAGGCAATGGGCTTAATCTTCAGCAAAGGGAGACTTGGTTAGACCTGTAAGAGTAGCTGTGCTCTGGAGCAGGCTTCCCAGGAAGTCCCACAGTCATTAGAAGCTTTTAAGGACAAATTGGATCAAGCCCTGTTGGATAGTCTAGGCTTCTTCCTGCCACCACATGGGGTGCTGGACTTGCTGACCTTCTCCAGGCCCCTTCTGCCCCTATGCTTGTGGTTCTGTGGGATCCTTCAAGGTCTTGGTGCTGCCGCCCACAGTACGGGATTGAATGCCTCCCGACCAGAAGGTCTGGTCCAGAAGCTTGGTCTGGTTGAGCACCTCTGACCAAGGCCACGAGCAAACCCAGATGCCCTTTGACAGCAGGTCTAGCTGCCTCTGGTGTGAAGTAGGGATGTTAAACATTGGTTAACTGAATAGTCAGTCTAATGAGCTCTTATTGGTTACTTGACTATGTGATAGTCCCCGGGGGTGGGGCTGGCAGCCAGTGCACACTAGCCCCGTTCCTGAGGAGCCCCTACCACTTCACGCTGCTGCCTCTGGATCAGAGGCAGGCGCCTTGGGGGGC